AAAAATTTGGTAAAAACAGTCCATCGTGATAGAAATTGACAAACATGCATTGGCAACTAGCCAAGAAGATGTTAAAAGAGATAATGACCACAACCGGCCAATGTCCAGTTCAGAAGCCATTGTCTAGTGCCTCCGATCTCCTGGTCAATCTTAACATTGTAATCTTTCATGAAAACATCAATTGAGAACGTCTTTTGACACAAAAGTTGAGAAACTGCCCATGGGTATGTGTTATGTACTGTAAATGAAATATAAAGAGCTGCTTATGTAGATGTTTGTCTCCCTTGCCAGGTCCTGAAAGGGCATAAAAACTTGTGTCAACAAGGTCATTGAAGTAGGGTTTTCTTGGTGAGCAAACATCCCAGGGAAATGCCAAACCAGACCTATGGGTCATTTAAACAGTGTAAATATTTCAGCAAGAACTACAACTGGAATGACTTTTGACAGTCACTGAATATTTTATCTCTTTCAAGCCAGGAAAGGTCTTCAGTATTGAAAATGTATTTCAAAAACATAAATAAATATCCAACTGACATTCAAAATCAGTCAAACACTAACGAACACTACCCGGATGGTCAAAAACAACAAGGAAGAACAGAAATATATGTGGCTTCCATAAAAGCTTTTGAGCCGGTTGTGGAATCTATACAAAACTGGGTCTAAATGGAGTTCGCTCTACACTGGGCTCTGCCAATCCCACCAGATACGTATATGGTACATTACACAGTTCAACGCAAGTATAGTCTTTCACCTTTCAGGTACGACCAGGAGTTGACACCAGTGCAAAATTGTCTCGTCAATGTAAAACAATACACTGGATTATATAAATCTGACAAAGTCTAGAATTTCTTTTAACGTAACTCACTCATGCAATAGTTACATTAAAATACAAGGGTGGGTGGATTTCCTCTGAAACGATCAAGTCATTCAACCTCTTTTGTTCACCAAATATCTGTGTTGTGATAACAAATTTCAGCACATGTATATATTCTTATATATCATTTCCTTTAATAGACATCCGTAATTGTAATAATGTAATGCATATACGCTTGATGTTGTTAAAACGATAATTTTTTCAACAACTTTTTCTATAAGTCATTATTTTAATAAAAATCTTATCCTTCAAACTGTTCTGGTTTGGTTAACAATTTTGCTGTATAATGAAATAGAATATAAGTTTTGATGCTTTAAATGCACTGTCTTTTGTAAGTTTTGCCATGCATAATTGTGATATTAGTTTAGAAATGACATTTGGTCTCAGTAAAATTCTACCTTAATATGTACGAAAATACTTATACATGTACTATATTGTACTTTGAAACAACACAAGTCTAAAGTACATATTTACTTAGAGGTACTCAGTATTGATCTTTTAAAAGATAATTTTACTGTACGTAACATCTTAATATATCATTGGCTTTATAATAGTTATGTAAAAGTGTGTATCTTGATGTTACCACTCCCTGTGCACAATAAAATCCGTTCTTACTAACACTATTGGTATAAATTATTGCGGGGCAGTATATGTTTGACCCAATAAAAAGTTAGTAAGTACCATTCAAACTCTTCATACAGGTCTCATAAATGACCACGTATTATCCAAAGTCTACTAAGTTCCTGTCACCTTCCTTGAATTATCAGCAATTTCGCTTGTCTAAATAAGGCACCCCCAAGTCATAAACTAATCCACAATGGTTGCAGTGATCAATAATTTGTTGATCGCCTTTATCACCTGTTTAACAGATAGCTGAATACATCTACCTTGGACAGACCAACCCCTGTGGCGTATACAGCTGTTCACTGAAAATATTTATCATTTATTCCATACAGGATAAACAAAAGAATGTATATAGGATGATAGGGTTTTAAGTCGGTGATGGAGCTCTGTAGATCAGGATATACAATCATATCTCACTGGTTATCTTGATGTTTTTCTTGTAATGAGAACAGATTTAAATGTAGACATCCTGGTGTTTTATTACTTAAACATGAAAATATATCATGTGTAATAATATAAACACTTCCTTTGTCATTTGTTGACAAAACAATTGAATTTCAGCCCAATCTAGTACTAACTGACCCTGAAACTTACAATTCTTTTGTGCAATATTTTTATTGAAAATCTACAAAAGTTGAAAGTACATCTTTTTATGGCCATGTCATTGTATATGCATACATAAGAGTGACATGTAATTTCTTGTGTTTTGTTTGATGTTGATGCATAATAGGAGAAAATATCAAAGTTTAACTACCTCACGAGCTCATAGTGATGCATTACATAAACAGGCAGACTTGATGAACAGCCATGCACGATAATGAATCAAAAGTTGCAAAATAAGATTGTTCATTTTTTTTTTAAATTTTACTTAAAAGTTTACATATTTCAAAATTTTCTCTTGTCCGTCTTTTCATTTTCAAGAGAAATTCTTCTGAAGTCTTTTTTTTCAATGTTGCATTAAACTAAAAAATAATCATACATGCAAGTTTGTTCTGCTTTCAAGTCTTCTACATCCATCCTTCCCATGATAGTCTTGGTGTGCTGTTTTATATTTTCTTAAGAGTGATGTTTGATCTTTTTTCCTTCAAAATCTAGGCTTGTACACCAGTTTTAAAAATAATCTCTGAATCTAATTCATATTTTCACCTATCAAAAACTTGAATTCTCATCTAGGGAAACTTAATAAAATTTAACATTGTTTAATCCTGTTGAGCCTAATCCATTGTTATAAACTGGCTTATTAGCATGTGTCATTGTACTCCTGCAGGTTAGGGTCAGAAGCCAGCTGATCCGCGAGTCAACCCCTACTAGCAAGTTTACTGAATCACCAGCTGTGAAACTTATGTCCCCTGTGGGTCATTTTTGGAAACATTGATTTTACCTAAATTCCAATCCAGGTGAATTTAGCTAACACACATTTTTCATTTTGTTATCAGAAGTTGTTGGCAGATGAAATCTGCCAGATAGGTAATATTTGCCCTAGCTATGACCAAATATTTAAAATTTTCCTAGTCCTGACTAGATACTTTTTGATATGACCCATACAATACATTTAAATGTATATCATGATGTGAAAATGTACTTAAACCAATATTTTTCAGTCTATGACTTGATCTAATTCCAATGTCACAAATAGTATTGTTACAAAGGTGACATATACATGTAGGTATACCAACTACAGTAATAGAGATTAGAAAGGATTATAATCAACATTTCAGAAATAAAATCTGATTAAAGCTCACTTTTAAATTCAACTAAAGCAGTTTGGGACCACTTATTCTACTCTGTTCACAGTCCAACATTAGTCAAGAACTTTCCCATCAGTATTTTTAAGTAACCTTTGTTCACAGTCCAACATTAGTCGAGAACTTTCCCATCAGTATTTTTAAGTAACCTTTGTTCACAGTCCAACATTAGTCGAGAACTTTCCCATCAGTATTTTTAAGTAACCTTTGTTCACAGTCCAACATTATAGAACTTTCCCATCAGTATTTTTAAGTAACCTTTGTTCACAGTCCAACATTAGTCGAGAACTTTCCCATCAGTATTTTTAAGTAACCTTTGTTCACAGTCCAACATTAGTCGAAACTTTCCCATCAGTATTTTTAAGTAACCTTTGTTCACAGTCCAACATTAGTCGAGAACTTTCCCATCAGTATTTTTAAGTAACCTTTGTTCACAGTCCAACATTAGTCGAGAACTTTCCCATCAGTATTTTTAAGTAACCTTTGTTCACAGTCCAACATTAGTCGAGAACTTTCCCATCAGTATTTTTAAGTAACCTTTGTTCACAGTCCAACATTAGTCGAGAACTTTCCCATCAGTATTTTTAAGTAACCTTTGTTCACAGTCCAACATTAGTCGAGAACTTTCCCATCAGTATTTTTAAGTAACCTTTTAATTATTACTATTCTGGCTTCAATCCATTTTTCTCTTTTTGTATTAATGATGTAATTACCAATATTATACAAGGTAAAACAATAATGTTGTTACATTTTACTTAAAAGAAGTTTTGCCTCAAAATGTCTCTGGTTCATGTTTAGGCAATATATACCACAAGAAACACATTGCAGTATCTGTTTTTTATGCATTTTACATTTTAAACAATAACTTTTGCTCTGACAAATTATCTTTAAAAAAGTTTACTTCTGCCATCTTTAAAAATTACATAAAATGAAAATGTCATTACTTATTTTCTTTCGTCACATGAAAAGAATTTACACATCATGTTAGATAGTTACTTAGGTGTTCAAGCTACAATGCCTGACTGACTGGGACACATTGGTTATTTACAACAGTCAAATGCCCCTGTGTGGGTTTGTATAGTTATCAAACCTTTTACATGTAGCAAAAATTAAAAACAGAAAAAAACCCTTCAATTTTAAATGTGAATTTCTTCTGGATATGAACTACCTACACACTTATTTAAGAAGAATCATTATTCCACATTCGTGTATGATGTAATGGAGTGTATTTGAAGTTTTAAGTCGAGACAATTTACTTCATAATGTAGACAAGATTTGTAAAGGGTCTTTTGAAAGTATAACCAACTCTACTCAATTAGGCATAAACCTTTTCCACTCTGATCTGGTGTTCGGAAATTTTATGTGGTAATGTTTCTGCTTGTTGGCTGCCACACAATGGCAGCTATTTTTTGAGGGTGTAATTTACGAACGACATTTAATGTCGCAATACAATTTGCATACACTACAAACAGATTTCCAGTCAACCTGTATTGATGTGAAGACGTATAAACTATGAAACAGCAGGAATTTACCTTCATATGCAACGCAACTCCTGATTTCGGTTTACCTGAATAAATTTTAAGAATAATTTTCTTTCCAGGATGATGAGGAAATTTCATTCCCCAGTATGTTTTGTTACTGAAAGAGTACATAGGTCAACTTGTCTCTGTAGTCTATAGAAGAGCTATAGTAGCAAGCAACCTTTTGTTGGGTTATCTTAAGTGTTGCTGAAATTGAATTCTGCCGTGTGTACTTACCGTAAGAATACAGCTTCCAACTTGAACATTTTCTGGGACAATTTGATGGTAATAGGTGTGTGCAAACTGTGGCTGCATGTCATTTACATCCAAAACTGTAATTTTGAGAGTTGCACTTCCTGTTCGCGGTGGCATTCCTGAATCTGTTGCAGTAATAGTAATCCACGGATTTGGGTTTTCTTCACAGTCAATAGTATCCCGAGCTCGAACAACAACTATACCTAAAGAGGGGTCAATTTCGAACCAATCTGAATTGTTGAGATGCGATTTAATACCATACGTTATATGGCTGTTAGGACCAGCATCTTGATCCGAAGCTTGAACCTGTATGACAGAAGATCCCTCCTGGGCCTGTTCTTGCACTGAAGCTTCATAAATGTTTTGGGTAAATTGTGGGGCATGGTCATTCACATCATCAATCCAAAGTGTGAAGGATTTTGCAGCTTGAAGTGGTGGTGAACCACCATCTACAGCAAGAATTGTTATATTAAAATTTGGATGAAGTTCGCGATCAAGTCCAGCTTTCACATAAAGGATGAAGGTGACATTATTACTGGTTTCTAATCCAAAATATGGGTCAGCACCTTGTAAAGTGACAGTAATATTTGAATAATACACTGTTGGATTGTCTGGATCACTGACAGAAATTCTCGCAACGGGTGTACCCACACTCGAGTTTTCAGGGATATGTCCGGCTGTTGTTTCGTTAGAGAGAAACAGCAAATTGACATTTGCAGGTTGTTCATTTATATCTATGACGATAATTTCTACTGACGTTGTATCTCTTAAAGGTTGTGAAGCATTGTCTGAAGCAATGACAGAGAGCTGGAAGGCTGGCGTTTTCTCATAATCCAAAGGTTTATTTATTCGAATAATCCCTGTTGTTGGATCAACACGGAAATGCCTGTCGGGATCTTTCTGATAGTCCATTGTGTACGTTATCCTAGCATTTTCCATGGAATCCTGATCAGTTGCCGAAACTTTGAGGACACTTTTACCAACAAGTTGGTCTTCTCTTACCTGTGCGCTGTAACGACTCAAATCAAATTTCGGTGGGTTGTCATTTGCATCTAAAATTGGAACTTGAATCATTACACTTCCGGTTTTCTGACCTCCATCTACAACACTTATAACTAGTGCATAGTTTGAAATATTTTCAAAATCTAGAAGTTTTTTGATTACAAGATCAAGGTATAGAAATGGTTTTGACAACTGTCCTTTTAATTCAAAATTCCCATTTTCATTACCTGACGTAATTGCATATGAAACAATGCCATTATCGCCGGTGTCATCGTCAATGGCACTTCCTATGTGTATTGATGATCCAGTGTTTGCACTTTCAGAAAGTTCTATTCTTTTACTCACATTAAATCTTGGGTAGTTGTCATTAATATCCCGAACAATTACCTCAGCTTGAATAAGATTATCTGTCAGCAGCGACATGACGATAAAATTGTATGAAGATTTTGTTTCTCTATCCAAAACGGAAGCTGTCGTAATAATTCCTGTGTTAATGTCAATGGTTAAACCCAAACTATCTCCATTTGGAATTAAGGTATATGGAGGTCCAAAAGTATCATCAAGTCCTTCGCCCAGGCGACCAACATATGAATTCGCAGGTTTTTCTTCATCGATCTCAAAAGTTTGTTTTGTTTCACCCTCAGCACTGCATATCACAGGTAGTAGCAGTAAAACGAAGATTGCTTTGAACAAGCCCATCTTCAGTAGTACTTCCATTCTTTTTTCAATTAATTCTGAACTTTTGATATTATTACTCAATAATTCACTTAAAAAGTCATTATTCACATATATCAAAGCCAATAATTCTTTAATATTAAATATTGGAAAATAATGGCAAATTTTGGATCTCGAAGATTAATCTGACAACACGTTTTCTTTACTGCTGCCTTGTAATATGGTTAATGACAGCTCACTTTTGAGGTTATTGAAAGGCAGGTGCCCGTGTTGAATATTGTTTACAACACATAAAACACTGTATTAATTAATAAAGAGGTGATTTCAATCTAGTTCTCACCATTTCTGTCGGGGTAACACAAAACAAAACACCATTTTCGCCCATGTTTCACAACTGCAAACAACTCCTTTGCGTGACTCGTACACAAACACACCTGAGGAGTTTGTGTATCGTACACACAGCACTACTAGAGACTAGCGGTATACATTTTTCTCCGTTTTTGTTCGTAAAAAGTCATTTTCACAAGAGAAATAGTACCAGTCCACTTCTACACGTTGATATATATTCACACACTACATTTTCCCTGGTGTTTCAAGTCATGTCTTCTTAGTAAACACAAAAAGCTTACTGCCTTCATAGTATGCCTACCGATCTTCTCACAGGCAGTCGCCAAGTTAGCTCAACCAACTATAATGTGGATCAACAGTGCGCATGTCTCGATTCCGACAAACAGTGGCTACCTGGATTTTCTTTCTTAATATCAGTGCACGAAAGTAAATTACAAACAGTCTTAAATCTATATTACCATGTATTTATGACTAGTTAGTGTATACAAAACGTGTTTTATTTCTCTTCTCTAGTTTCTTATCGTAAGAAAGCAAGGAGCGGAATTGAGACGATGACTGTAATGTGTAAGTGTGTGTAGTAGTCACGTGACGTGTGTATACAGGTGAAATATAAACATGTGTCCGAATAGTTTTTCGATTACAAAGGCCCTGTCTTACTATATACGTCTATCTACTTAGAACTGATTTCAAAGAACTTGACAACAAGCAACAATTCACCAACAAACCACTACGACATTTGTATTTTTCTCTCTCGAATATAAGAGAAACGTCGAATCGATACCATGGTCGAAATATTTTTTGGAGACAAATAAAGGTGGTTGTAATCAGTAAGTATGGAGCACATAATGAAGGTTTTAACAATATCGATACAAGAAGATATACATGTAATCGCCAAAATTTACTGTCGCTGTTCAAAATAGTCATAAACTTGAAAAATAATGATATTCAAGCGAAATGTCCATTACAACAGAGACGTATATATACATTTTGTATGTCTCTGATTACAAGTTAGACTCTGGACAATTAACGCAAGGGCTTAGAAATATTTGAAGTCCAGGATCAACTGATAAAATCAATGTTATTACTATAGGTGATTTTACTTGAACATATCGATGTATTGGAAAGGCGTTTTTTAAAAAAACTTTTTTATCATCAAAAACGCATATAATGTCTATCTGATATAATTCTACTCCGGGCAAAAAGTACTAGGCAATAATCTATGGACAAAAAATGGTAAGTAGTCTTAATATAATTTTATTGATTTAACATACATGTCTTTGCTAATTTCATATTGTCAAAAGCATAGTTTATATTAATGGTAGATTAGTATATGGAAAACCGTTCTTGAACACTATCTGATCTCTTTCTTTTTGAATGACCGTGGCTAATCTGATATCGGTCTGGTTATTATGTAGTGGAGTGTGATTATCTAGTTAAGTAGATACCTAGTTGCAGGTCGATAACGGTGTGAACTTAACTGTTTATTACATTTTAACACAACAGGAAAGCATCTACTACCTGTGTAACATCCCCAGGTATCTAACACAGAATACCTGTGTGACAGGTAAGGTGCGAAACCGACCGGCGATACAAACCAGACAAGCCCCAGGAATCATTCAGGAATTTTATCGATAAGCTCAAATGGTTTTGTCGCTGTATAAAACTCACAAAACCGTGTCAATATCACTGACGAATGTCTGATATTGATATCTCAATGGTGACACGAGTAACTTACAACTGAAATTGACATCTCTAATAATAACAGTGTGTTTTTCAGTGAATGTTTCCTCTAGCTGTAAATATGTCAACGGTTTTCTACCTAATAAAAAGACACATTGATGCATTAAACATACCCATGCTGTGGTTAAATTAATTAAAAAGAAATTTTTAAAAAATTACGTTTTAGAAGCCAATAAGGCAAAATGAGATAAAGCAATATTATCTGTTTCGAATTAGATTAAATTCAAACGGAGTTGTATATTCATATGACACTACAATAGGTTTAAGTCGTGATTTTATCAATATTTCAGTCGTGTATATTCGAAATGATTACTTTATCAGTTAATTCAAGATCCCTCAAGAGCGAACTTTCAAAAATTAAAGTTCGACCTTCACATTGATCGTTCAATGTTTCAATATATCTCCCAAAGTATATATTTTAAAAAATTCATCATCTGCGCCAGTTGCATCCAAAGACACGCACATTACATTCATATCTAATAATGGTGTAAATATGTGTGTATTTCACGATTGAAATGATAGCTCTTTGTTTGCTCTCGTTTAGATCTCATATTTTACAACCATGCATTGAAAAGAAATATTTTCTCTCGCGCCAATGTGTCTAGTTTATAAGAATAAGCACGACGAAGTTAATAATACGCATTCCCGTTAATGTTTTTGACAAACCACATCAATTATGACGAGGGGATTGTACAATCTTTGATAATAATTCCCAGCAGAGCAAGTTATCTGTAGTCGACTCTTTTAATTGAATTCATCATGGGGTATCATATCAAAGTAACGCGTGCTACTGGTCGTTTACGTCTCAACTAAGTAATTCAGATATATTCTGAAAAGTCACCGAAAAACTAGAGTTTTATTAAAGAAAAATAACCCTTACTACAAACTTCTTTGCGATCTCGGGACGTTTCCTCGTGTTTGTAATTTCATCGATTACTTTTCAACTGCTCTTATTCTAATGATAATTTTGATTCATAATCTTATTGTTTCTCAATTCTAAATTAATTATTTATCAATTAAAAAGATATTGAATATTTTTGCTGTAAGGAGTAAAACGTCACAAGCAGATTATAATGAATGTAGAAATCTCTGATAAAAAATAGTCAGCATTGAATAAGATATCTTCACATTTTAACTCATATTAAAAACGTATGTATCGATATGAAATACAAAATGAATTTTTTATATTGTGACGAAAACACTACTGTCCAAACAGGTTGTTTCTCCTATTACCTGATAACCTAACATAAACGATATTATTCTGGTACTACTGGTGTTTTGTAATATTAATCCAGCTAGGAAAATACATTGTATACTTCATTAAAAAAAATCTAAAGAAGTTACTCCGTTTCATTTAAGCCATGCCTAATATCGTTGTGTGAAATGCTGTAATACAAGGGAGTGATATTATTCACCTAATATGTCCAGTCCAGTCGACTCCCACCTGGTATAATTCCATTGTTGACCATTTAACGGTGACTCACGACAAAACGGATGAACGAAATTAACGGCGACGTCATGCGTGAATGATCATATATTCTGGCGGCGTAAATACAAAGAAAAAACCACAAAAGAGAGGTAATACTTTAATTTGTACAGGCGTAGAAACATTGCTTCATCACCAGTATGACCTTGGGTCAGGTGTCTCGACCAGTCTTATTGAATAGGAAGGTAATTATTTATGAATTAGCGGAATTCCAAGGAGCATATATCTGTTTGTGTTCAAGTTAACGATAATGGTTTTTTGTTATCATACCATATACAAGAATTATGTAAAGTGTGGGAAATAGTGTTAGTTATAATAGATTATTTATATCATGAATATTTACCTGTGTGATGTAATAGTCAAAGGAAATACAGATAACGCACATAAATGTAAAAAAAAAAAAAAATAGCAATATGTCAACATAATTATAATTCAAATTCAATAAAACTTGCGCAGAATAGGAACAAATGAAATATATAGTCGGAGACGCATGAAAATATACAAGGAAAATATAACAAGGTGTTCCGGAAGAGTAAGCGTCTTGTGCTTAATTGAAGAGAAGTACCATGCAAATTTTGGTCAATCCAATTAAGTAAAATATGTCACGTGCGCAAATGTGAACAAAGTATACAACGACGGAACCAACTGGCAAACTAAAGAGTATCAAATACGTCCAGCTTCATATCACACAAAGAAATGTAATTTTTTCCTAATGATATAACTAACTATGACGACCGTAAATTTCCCCCATAATTTTCAGCTGCATCTTTTGAAACCCCGTGTTTCGAGTTTGTCCTTTAGTTGACGACTTCTCGCACGAAAATCGTGAAAATAGGTTCAGGCCTGTGAATATTAAATCAACTGCTTGCGGAAAGTGCCGAGGGTTCCCGATCGAGATGCTTTATCATAATATTCGCAAGACAGTACGAGTTGTGCCCCTTCATATCTGCCCTATTCAGTTCGAAGGGAAATAACTCTTTGTTGTTACCGACGTTCTTGTAACATTTGAGGTCAGTGTCGTAGCATGTTTTCAGAATAAATATAATAGAATAAAGAAACGTTGAAATAAAGAGTCACATTCACGTGTGTACTGTTGACTTGTCTCAATATGTTGTATGATGTAAGCTGTGTGTGAGTATTTGTATAATAAAGTAAAAGTGAGAATGAAAAGACGTTATTTGAATTGAATCCTAGAGCTTTATGAAATAACACGAAATTACTCAAACAAATAGGCGGAGTTGTCACAAAGCAGTCTTTTTGTACAGTGGAAGTTCTGAAAGCTGTCTAAGGACTATTTATCTGTAACAATTCATCGTCAGCTGTTGTGCAAACTGACGGAAGGCTCGTTCGGGGAAAGGCACTCGGTTCACGACATCAGCAATACTGAAACGGCCACGAAGAGTGCCATTCATAGAAACTGGTATCCGTAATTCAACTAAAAATCGTACGTGGATTTTATGGATAATAT